ACGGTCGACGACCCCTTCTACAACCAGTACATGAAGGACGTGATCTTCGAGGGTGGGCATGGCCGTGCCTACGACCCCGAGGAGACCCAAAGTCAAGATGGCCGCGCCCGTGCCCGATGAAGAGGCCGACGACCGTGCTGACTACGACCATGGTGACTCGTGGCATGAAGACGATGACATCTATGTCGAAGGTGACGGTGATGAAGAAGAAGGCAATGACGTTGATATTAGTGGCGACCATTGTTCATCGACGAGCTCACCCAAAGAGCGGAAGCACAAAAGAAGAGGAAGAGCATTCGCACGGGTTCATACACACAAGATGAGGACAAGTTGATTTGCCAAGATTGGATGGAGATTAGCCAAGATCCGAGGACCGGCGCGCAACAAAAGGGCATTGTTTTTTGGACGAGAGTCCACAAAACATTCCATGAAAGGAAGATGTTTGAGCCCTACCAATTTACAAGCAACCGTGGCATCGGCTCGATTCAAAAGAGATGGTTGTTCATCCAACAAGAGTGCAACAAGTATTGCGCCGCATTTGAGAGCATTGAAGCACGGCCCGTGAGTGGTCTCGGCGTTGGGGACATGGTATGCTCTCCTCTTCCTAGCCCTTTCCTTGCCACGGCCATGACACTTCGGCCGTGTATATGTTTGCATGTTCACTTGTTGTTGATCATGTGATTTAGGTATTTCAATCTTTGGAAGCATTCAAGGCCCGGCACAATGACAAGTCATTCACTCTTACACATTGTTGGACGATCATCAACAATTGCCCTAAGTTCAAGGACCAATACCGTGAACTACAAAGGAAGAGAGGACTAAAGACGACCAAGTACGCCGGAGGTGGAGATGGCGAGGCCTTGAAGAGGCCGAGGGGCAAGACCAACTCCAAGGTTGATGACATACGTGATGCCTCATCCATGGCATTGCATGACACTTTGCATGGCATGATGTTCCAAAAGGATGTGAGGGACAAGAAGAAGCGGCAAAGCAAGGAGGAGCAAATGAAGCAATACCTAGACCTTCAAAGAAAGAAGCTTGAGATGGAGGAGGCGGCCAAGAGGAGGAAGATCGACATGAAGGAGACGGCCCGGCAAAGGTAGCTCGACATTGAGGCCGACAACGTCAAGGCCAGGCAGAGGCAGCTCGACATCGAGGCCACGAACGCTGCCACCAAAGCAAAGGAGGTGGCCCTTGCGATCATGAGCGTGGACTTGTCGAAGATGAGCAACAAGACGAGGGCCTAGTTCGAGGCCAAGCAGAAGGAGATGCTCGAAGCCGAAGGCCTGAACTATGTCATCCGATTGGCCGTGGCCATTCTTTTTGAAGGCTGGCATGGGTGACGCCCGCCCGCTGGGCCGCTGGCTGTGTCCCGGCGAGAAAACATTCATTTTGGTGGCCGGTTGTGTTGCCGGCTACTGGTTGCGTTGCCGACGAAGACAACTATTCATTTTGAAGGCTGGCTGTGTTGCCGGTCGCTGGCTGATGCCGGCGATGGACGTGTAGGCCGCTGGCCTGAACTAGAACTTGGCATTTGAAACGTTCTTCTGATTTTTTTTAAATAAACACGGACAGAATGGGGCAAATGAAGGCGGCCGCGCGCTGGGCGCACGGCCATCACATATCAAGACATGCTCAGACACGACCCCAAATCCCATCCTAAAGGGACGAAATTCGGACAAAGCGGACGTCCGTTTAGGGGTCGTGCCGTGAAGTTGGCCTTAGGTTTGTTGCCTGAAGTCGTTCTGCAATCCAGTTTATTGGGGGTGTTTGTCATCATGCACTTGAGAGATTCAGAGATGTGACTGACAGACGAGCACGTACAGCCCAGCATTCTGCTACACGAGGAGCCATTCGCGTGGGCCCGTCAAGTCTGGTGAAGCTGGTACGCGCATTGATTCCGGCGCAGTTGGGCAACAGTTTTTTTTAAAAAGGAGGATGACCCTCGGCCTCTGCATCTGGGAGATGCATACGGCCATTTTATTGATTATTCTCAAGAACCTTACAAAGTAGTACAATAATATGCCTGAATCCGCCATCTTGGCAACATCTGCCACTACTCCTATCCATATGATGAAGGGGGTGCAAGCTGGGCCAAATACCCAGACCTCTCACCTAAGCCTAACATCTAAAGCCGGAGGCCCCGACCGAGCCACATACCGGGTCCGGGGCACAATCCGGTCTGACGCACTCACATGTGTCGTCGCCGCCATCTTCCACTAGTCCATCTTCAGAGCAGATTGATGTGCCAACCTTGGCAGGATCCTCCGCCATCGACGCCATCAAGACGCCAAACGACGACCACCATCTACGCTAGTCCATCTCCAAGCAGAAGGAGCGCTACCACAGGACGAAGACCGGCGGAGAATAGGTGAAACGCTGCACACAATGCCGCCGCCAAACACCTCACATGCACCGCAAAGCGCCCACCATGTTTCCGGGAACCACAGGCGACGCCTTCAAGAAGGAGCGCGACGAGGGTACGACCCATCGCCCGCAAGGGGAACTAGAGCTTTCACCCAAAGGAAGATCACGGTAAAAGACGGGAGAGGACCTCGACAAGGCCTCCAAGAAGGGGACCGACGCCCAGCAAAGACGCCGCCATTGTCGTGGCCTCCGCCGACGACCAAGGGTTTCCCCTGGTCCCGCCCCCATCCCATCCACCCAGCCAAAGACCTGGCTAGGGGAGTGCACGCAGCCGAAGAAAGCGTTGGACGTCATCGAAACAAGCACGCCGGGTGACGGGGCACCCCGACCCACTGTAGTAGACGTCCACCGAGACCTTGCCGCCCGCACGACCGAAGTCGCGGACCACCAGCACCCACGACCGTCGCCCGCCGAAGAGGCAACGCCGTCCACACCGCCCGAGGCCGCCGCCCCGGCATCCACCCACCGCACGCATCCCGTCGAAACATGGGGAACGACCCGCACCACCGCCACCAGGGAGCACCACACCGCGAACATCCAAGCCGGGCAGGACGAGGAAAGGCCACGCCAGCCAAATCCGGGCGGATCCGGCGAACCCCGGCCCACCAGCCGCCAGATCGGAGCAAGGCGGCCGGATCTGATGGGCAGAGCCGTCCCCGGCGACAGGCGCGGGGCGACAACGCCGGCGGTAGCCGCCGTAGAGGGTCGGCCTCGACGGCCACCAGGGAAAAGCGGGCGGTGACGCCCGATGCGGGGTGGGGGGCCGGCTCTCCAGAGGTCAAGGCGGGTGCGCGGGGAAGCCCCCGCTGCCGCCGACCGCCACGTGGGCAAACCCGACGACGGCTGCCGGCGGCGGCGGGGAAGGAGGAGAAGGGGAAGCGGGGGACCGGCGGCGTCTAGGGTTTCGCCCCCGGGTCGCCCGAGAGCGGACGACGCGGGAGGGGGGCGGACACGCAACTCCAGTTGGGCAACAGTTGCTGTGAACTCACTGATTTCTTGGCGCGTGCCATGCAGACACACTGTCTCAAGCTGGCCGTGTCATTCAACTCCATCGGCCAAGCCAATGCATACACGCACTGTCGCAACCGTGTGTGTAACCATTTGGGCATGTGGCTGCTTTTGGCATACATAAAATCGAGCAAGGCCAAAAGTCACAAATTCGTACGACGACTGGAGCGAGATCGAGGTCGCTCGAGTGA